ATAATATATATATATATATATATATATATATATATATATATATATATATATATATATATATATATACATATATATATATATATATATATATATATATATATATATATATATATATATATATATATATATATATATATATATATATATATATATATATATATATATATATATCAGTGCCGGCCTTAGCCTTTTTGCCGCCCTCGTGCAAAATTTGTCCTGCCGCCCCTGAAAATTTTATAAACGTGCTGGTAAATTACATGGAAAATAATAACAAATCGAATTCAAAAATAATACTTTGCAATAAAACGCTACATACAAAGAAACATTTTTTGTTATGTTTTACACAAAATACATTTAATTTTTTAAATTAATTTTACGAGCCTTCTTATCACCAAAATCTTTGATTAGGGTTGAAAAATCAAGTTTTCAGCAATATTCTTTTTAATCGATAGGGTTCCTAAACTTGAAAGTCTATCCTGCGACATTGTTGACCGCAGATAGGTTTTTATTAGTTTCATTTTGGAAAAGCTTATTTCTCCACTCGCTACAGTGACAGGTATTGTTAGCAAAATTCGCATTGCAATCCATGTGTTTCGATACAAATCTTGCATTTTGTGCTGTTTTATAAAGTTTAAAACAATAATAGGAGTAATTTTATCCTTGACCATTTCAGAAAGAAAAGGTTTAATGCTCATCAGTTCATCGCAAAGAAGAATACTATTTATGTCCGATTTTAGATTTACGGTAAGTTTACTTTGAAGAGCTAAACATGATTTTAGAATTTCTTCTCTTTTTTGCAAACTATCAACATTATACAAAACACCCCAAACTTCGGAATAATTCTCCAACTGTATAAATCTTTCTCTCATTGAAATTAAAGATGTGTCTAAAAGAGAATTGAAGAAATCGATTTCTAATTTTTTTTCAGGAGAAATAAATAAATCCCATCTTGGGCTGGTTCGTCGAAATGGCGTTTCACTCGTATTATTCTTTTAAGTGGTTTAAAAACAGGCTCCACTTGTAATTCTATAGCCAAATCCTTTGCTTTTATAATTGCATCTTTAAAACCACATTTTCTTTAGTTTTCTAAAAATGAACAACAATTTTGACTTGAAAAAGAACGTCATACCAGACAATTAAAAAGACAAGAAAGCTAAAATCTTTTAATTGCTCTCCTAGAGTTATCGCTTCATGTGCAATTTCAGGATTACATCCTTCAATTTCTGACAATGCTATCAAAGCGTCATGTACATCACCAACTTGATAACGAACGGCTTTAACACTACTTATTTTTGCTTCCCACCGCGTGTGACAGAGTTTCTTTAAATGCAAAATTTTAACATGATCAATTAAAATTTTCCATCGGCTCACTGAAGCTGAGAATAGAGTAAACAATCTCTGAAGAATATGGAAAAAAGCTATAGATTTTACTGAAGACCGTGCAGAGTCACTTATTACCAAATTTAAGCTATGGTTGCCGCAAGGAACATATAATGCTAAAGGATTAAGATTTAAAATCCTTTTTTGTACACCATTAATCTTTCCTTTCATATTTGATCCATTATCATACCCTTGACCTCTGCAGTTAGAGATTTCAAGTCCATGCTTAGTTAGCAACTCGATTAAAACCTCAGTAAGTCCTAAGCCTGTAGAATCAGAAACAGAAAAGAATCCTAAAAAGTACTCTTTAATTTCCACTCTAATGTCTAATGACAAGTCAACAATTCGAATAGTAAGAGAAAGTTGTTCTTTTCTAGAAATATCAGGTGTACAATCAGCAATGATTGTATAGTAAACGGCTTTCAAGACTCGGTTTATTGTTTCATCATTAACCTTTTGAGACATTAAATCTATTAACTCATTTTGAATATTTTTCCCGCAATAATGGTCTGAAGTGTCACCTTTTATTGCAAGTGCTAAATGCTTTTGCATCACAGGATCAAATTTTGCAAGCATCTGTATTAGTCCTAAGAATTTGCCGTTTTGAGGCGTAAACAGTTTATCTGAACTCCCTCGTAAAGCCATATTATTTTCAGCTAGGTAAAAAGTGATATTCATCAGCCGAAGAAAAACATTTTGCCATCGCAAACTGTCTTTTTCTATAATTTTAATTTCTTCATTATCTATAGTTTTTCCAGTTTTTAATCCTATTTCAGTTTCTACCCACTGTTGATAACACTTCATATGAGAGACGCTGTTTTCATGAATTTCCAATGTTTCAGTTAAATGTCTCCATTTCTTGAAACCATCAGAGACTAAGTTTGACTTTGAATTATTATCAAAACGTAGACAGCAAAAACAAAATACGGAGTTTTTAGAATCTGAATAAACCAACTATCTACAGCAAAAGGTTTCTCCATTCGCAAGCTTTCTATTGTAATAAATGCTAGAAAAATGTCAACCATTTCTATCTTCAGGGTATTTTTCCTTTGTAATTTGAAAAAGACCAAGTTTGATTAAATGGTCCACAAAGTTGCAAGATCGAACAATTAGCCAATTTCCACAATCCAATAAATTAGGTGTTTCTTGTAAAAAATCTTCCGATAAATCATTCGATTCTTTTAAAATAACTGGTTCATTATCTACTTCAATTTGCAATGAAGTTATACAACTATTTTTGAGTATTGTTGAAGGTTCTCCAATTTTATTGGACATAGTCGTAGAGATAGTTGAAGAATCAGGGTTAAAATCTTCACGACCTTCGTCAGGTTTTTTATAAGCAACATATTTTTCAATGCTCATGAATTTTTTAATTTTTTCAAATTTTTGATCTTTAACGGACTTTCTTTTTCTGTACTCATAACCAAACAACTTTTTTCTCGAATTTGAAATTTTATGTGACATGAGACAAAATATTTTTTAAGATAAGATTATTTCTACAATTTAAAAAAAAAAAAAATTTAACAAAGTTCTTAAAACACATTCATAAAGTTATTAAAGAAATAAAAAAAAAAGTAACTAAACTTCTTGAAAATTGTTTAAATCGAGTCAACTTAACATTTAATAACAAAAAAAAAAAACTTTTGAACTTCTTTATAAAAAATTTTTTGCAAGTTTAAATATATTTGTTACCTGTTTTTTAATGGAAAGCATTCAATAATAATACTTCCTTTTTATTTTTTGTTAAACCGACATAAGTTTTGTTGCAAATAAAATGAGGCTATTGCAGTCTTTCATTTTTAAAATTTTATTTCGTTCAAAAATATAACGATGACTTTTATGTTATATTAATTGTCCATTAATTCTATGGAGACTTAAAAATAGTAATCATCATTGTTACAACTACACAACACTAAAAAAATATTTTTGTTTATTGTCCATATTTAACTCTCCGAAACAAATTTAAATTTACAATCGCGAATTGTGAAATGTAATAGTTTACATTACATTAATAGAACATTGTTTACATTCACATTATCAATAAAATATAATGACCAAACATTAAATACACATATTTGTTCAATATGTTAAATAAAATTAATCATTAAAACTTATTCAGGTCTTTTAAAGTTTATAAACTTTCCATAACATCTTTAGAAAATGGATATACCGCATTTTTCTAACTTATTGACAAAAAAAAAAAAAAATTTATTTATTATTATTTTACTTAGTAACATTATAAAATATACTTTATGTATATATAATACCAAAAAGTTTTACTTATTAAAATACCTTAACACAGCAGTTTATACTATATATTATTTGATGATGTATCACTTCAAAAAGTTTTTCAAGTTTCAAAATGATTGAAGTTATGCAAAATATGACGAATAAAGATTGCATCAGTATCAACTATATTAAAATCAATAAATCATTTTTTTTTTTATTAAATTAAATTAATAGAAGTAAAAGATAAAAAAGAGAACTTCTCTATAATACAAAAAGTGATAATAATAAATAATAAATAATAAAAAATAAGTGATGATTATTATTTACATAAAATTTACCATTAAATGATTTTAAATTCATTACACAGTAAATTAAAATCTTTATTATAAGTTGCAATTTACTATGTTTGTTTTGTTTGCAAAAAGAAAGAAAAGTTAAACTTGTTATACATTGCAATCAAAGCTGAACTTTTAAAAAAACTTTGACGAAGTCATTAAAATAAAAAATATATGTTACTTTATTTTATGTAATTAGAGTTAAAGATGATAAAACAAAATGTTGTAATAATAAAACACTGCTACCGAAATCCATACAACAAAATCAAATTTGACTTGAACTGCTTTTGAAAAAAACTGTATAATTTTTAATATTTTTTAAATGAGTATTTTTAAACAATAATCAATGTTTCAAAAAATATTAGCATCTATCAATAATTATGGATTTAGTTTGAAATGATTGTAAACAAAAACCCCGTAAATACTAATATACGTAATAATACGTAAATGGTAATGTTTTACGATTGAAATAAAGAAAATAAAACTAATTTAAAAGTAAAAAAACTTTTGCAAAAGAATTAAAATGTTTTTAGATTGCATGTAACAAATACTTTTGTAGTATAATTTTTTTTCCAAATGTTTACAATTTAAAATTGTTTACATAGGTCTCTACTATGAATTTATTTTGAAGTCTTATACCATTAAACCATTTTGATGAGGTAGTAGGCTTTTTTTCTATTTTAGAATTGGAAGCAGTTCAATTAAAACTAAATAAGGAAAAAAATAGAAAATAAAAAATAATAAGAGTAACCTCTTCGACAGATTTCGGGGATGAACTTGATGAAAAACAAATAAAAAAATGTCAATTTGTGTACAATTGCAATAAAAAGTGGCTTGTATGATTTTCAGTTTAGAGAAAAAGTTACCAAACAGTATGGGTGAGAAACTGAATTCTGAAACCAGTTTATATTTTGATATTAAATTTTTACACTATAATAACATGATAAATCATCCTTTAGTTTAAAATTTTTAATGTTATCCATGGTTACACATACGTAGATTTTGAACTCTATCAAAAATTGATTTGATTCATAAAATAAAATAAAAAGAAATTACACATCACTCTGAGGTGTGAATGTTTGGTCAAATATAGCTTCAATTGACATCCACTTGATTGGTAAGCGCCGAGTTTGACTGCTCATGTAAAGTTGTTCTGCATTGATTTTTCTGGTTAAACCAAAATCAGATATTTTTACGTTTTTATTAGCACCAACTAAAATGTTTCTTGCAGCTAGGTCTCGATGTACCAGATTTATACTTGAAAGATATTCCTAAAAAAATAATCACAAAAAGAAAAATTAGCAAGAAAAAAATATATATATTATGTCATATAGATGCATTCATACCATGCCTGATGCAACCTGCCATGCAAAACTAAGCAAATCATCAGGAGTTATTATTCCATTACCATCCACGGGTATATCATTTGGCATGATTCCTCTGTTAGATGTCTCACTTGTTGTTGTCTATATTATATTTGTAATATGTATATAACAAATAACCTCTTGCAAATAAATTTGGCTTAAACCGTCGTCGGGCGCAATAAAGAAACACACAAGTTTTGAATATGAAGTATCAAAACTTAAGTAATAAAACAAAATACAATCTTACTTTTCAATATCTATATACATCTTCAATCCAAAACCTCAATGTTTTTTGTTATTTTTATAAACATTTACGCATATGCATAAAGAACGGTGAGGCTGATAGACTAAAACTTGATAGTTCATTCAAAGATCTTAGTTGCATCTTCAACATTCATACTTAGATGGCCTCATAACACCTTTTTCAAAAACACACTTCAACGAATCTACATCTTTTGAAATGAGGAAGAGATTTTAATTTTTGTTGATGAGGTTTTGGACAAAATTTTGTAGTCCATAAGGTATTCCAATGGTATTTATGTTTTTTTTCTCAGGTCGTTAACTATACGGTGTTCAAATGTGACAACTTTAAAAAAAAAAAATTATACCTTTTTTTTAAGATCCTAATATAAATATAGGCATCGTATAGAAAATTACCATAGTCCTTAGAATAGTCCATAGTCCATCGTATAGAAAATTACCAAGTCCTTAGAATAAACCTAGAATCACGTAACTAATTGTAAGATTTATCCATGGACTTAAACTTTTCTAATAAACATCCAATTATTTTTCTAGGGAATAATAAAGATGTTTCAAACTCATTCAGTTTTCTCTATACACTTATGTTCAATACAACAGTCCAACAATTGTTTTAAACTCAACTATGTCAGTTGATATAATAACTCACTTTTACGCAAACCTACTTTTCATGGAGTCAATATAAAGATTTGTGTATATGACAATCAACTTAAGTATATTTCTTGTAAAATACTATTTCAACATTCAAGCTGAGTTTAGGCATTTTTATGTAATTCCGAAACTCCATGAAAATGTTGTCTCACTTTCAATTTCGACGTCATTTAGATTTATTTTTATAAAAAATTCGACTAAGTTTAGTATTTTAGTTAATTTGTTAGTTTAGTATTACTTATTACTGAAATATGCAAAACAAATATTTCTGAAAAAAAAAAATTTTCAAAAGTACCTGCAAATAAAAAGATTCAAATAGAAGCAATGAGTTGAACAGAAAACAAAAGCTGAATAAAATTTTGTTATCAGTAAAATAACTTATAAGGAGGATTTTCTCCTAAAAACAGAAAATTAGAGAAGTCATCTAGACACATGAAGTTAACGGAGAAGACTAGGTCTAATAGTCTTCTAGTGTTGAGAAAACTTCAAATGACTAAAGATTCAGAATGTTTAATTAATTGCGCCCAATGAAGAGTTAAAAAAGTATATTTAACATTTTTATATTGTGCAAAATAAAATGATAAATATAAGCATTTTAAAAATATGATAATATATAAAAAAATTTGAAATACCTCAAGCGAGTCTTTATATTTTGTTGTATATATAAAGTTTCCTGCAGAATCTCCATCAACTTTTGGAATGCAAAGCTACAATAATAATAAAATGAAAAAAACTATAATATCTTTAGTATTTCAAATATTTTTAAAATTGAAGATGAATTTAAAAAAATATTTATTTATATTATGTAAATTACTTTTGTAACTATTAAGCTACACTTTAAGGAATCTCAGATGTTAAATTTATTGAGATCACTTTTAAAAGCGATTTCAATAAATTTAATATCTGAGATTTTTTTAGGTGTTGTTTAATAGTTTATACTTGTTTTGATTTTTCTTTTTTTTTAGAAAAGTGTTATTGCAAATATTTAGTATAAAATATAAAACTTTTTTATTACTCGGTATAAAAATGTTTTTCTGACCCGTTATGTTTAAATAAAATTGAAAATAGAATTCTAATCCTTTTATTCTCAAAGTTGCATATTTAGATACTGGAACAGCAAAAATGTTTCAAAATTTTACATTTCAATATTCTTAAATTTCAAGAGCATACAATCTAATGAAAATTCTATAAATAAGTACAAAATTCTGCAACAGTTTATTATAAAATATCCCAAATTTTAACAAATTTTGAACATATCTTTCAGTAAATATATTTTAAAATCACAGCAAAATTTATATCTATTTAAAAGTGTGAAGTTACCAAATAATATATTTTTTTTTGTCCGTACAATTATAAGAAATCGATGTTATTTCTGGAAAATCTTTAAATAAAATAAAAAAATGCATTTTTAAGGGAATTACAAAAAAATTAGAAAAAAAAAAATTGGTTATTATCATCCAGACTTGATGATGATGTCCAACAAAAAAGCGTCAAAATAAGATGTCTAGTATAACTGCATGTAAATCTGATAATGAATATTCTCAAGGAATGCATGTTTATAAAAAAATTTGGAATTGAAAGTTTGAAATCAAAAGTGTTAAGCTAAATGTCTAAAAGTTTATAGAAATTGTAGCTGACACAACTGATTGTAACAATTGTTTGTAATTTATGTATATATATATATATATATATATATATATATGTATATATATATATATATATATATATATATATATATATATATATATATAAATATATATATATATATATATATACATATATATATATATATATATATATACATATATATATATATATATATATATATATAATATATATATATATATATATATATATATATATATATATATATATATATATATATATATATATATATATATATATATATATATATATATTTAAATATATATATTTAATGTATGAACATTTTATATATATATTTAAATATATATATTTAATATATGAACATCAATGAATACCAATTCTCTTGATACTAATTTTTTTATTTAATTTAAGAAAACTTGGCTACATTATTGATAATAGCTTTAATTACAACGTATTAATTATTTTTACCAAGATCTCATTAAAAATGCAAAAAAAATAAAATAAAAAATTACAGTAATCAAATTAACAAATGCAAGTTTGATTGCAAAAAAACATGGTCCATCATCAATATCATAATGGGAAGAAAAAAACTAAATTCATCTTCTCTACCTAAACGAATTGTTATTGAAAACAACGATATATTTAGTCAAAAACAAATTTTGGAAGAATTCAATAAATATTTTACAAGTATTGGTCCAAATCTTGTAAAAAAATAGTACCAACATCTGTATCATTTAAAACTTTCTTTAAACCAACGAGTAATGTTATCATGTTTGATTATGAAATAACCTATGAGGATTTAGAGGCGGTTTTTTCCACGTTAAAAAATAAAAGGCTCTAGGATTTGATGAGATATCTAGTAATATAGGCATTGCAAACAAAAATAATCTTAAAAGACCTCTAATACATATACTAAAGCTTTCGTTAAACTCTGGGGTATTTCCGGATGTACTTAAATTAGCAAAAGTAACTCCATCGTACAAATGTAATGATCATTCTGACATTACAAACTACAGGCCTATGTCAGTACTTTCTGTATTTTCAAAACTATTTGAACGTGTAGTTTTTAATAGAATCTATGATTACTTTATTAAAAACATTTTTTTTTACCCAAATCAGTTTGGTTTTCAAAAAAATCTCTCTACTGAGCATGCAATCATTGAAATAGTAAATCAAATAACTAATGGTTTTGAAAATAATAAATTTACTTTAGAAGTATTTCTTGATTTATCAAAAGCATTTGATACAATGGACCACTGTATTCTCTTAGATAAATTAAGACATTACGGAACAATTAATAAAACTTATTATTGGAATAAAAGCTATCTTACAAACAGAAAACAATATGTAAATAATGCCCAATCTGGAGGGTTATATGTCACATGTGGAGTTCCGCAAGGATCGCTTCTTGGTCCACTTCTTTTTTAAATATATATAAATGACTCTGTAATGCATCCTCACTTAATTCAGTCATGTTTGCAGATGACACAAATTTATTTCTTACCAACAACGATATCAAGAAATTATATGCGGACATGAATATTGAACTAAATAAAGTAAATAACTGGTTTAAGGCTAACAAATCCTCACCTAAAGCAGAGAAAACAAACTATACACTTTTTCATAAAAAAACACAAGAAGAAAATCTTCCTATTAAAAGTGATAAACTAATTAAAAATCAATCTAATATAAGATTCTTGGGAATCGTTGTCGATGAAAAATTATCCTGGCTTCCTCATATAATATACATCCAGTACAAAATCATAGGTTTAATGGATCGAGTTCGCTCGTACATCAACACAAATAGTCTTAAATTAATCTAATTTGGACTATATCAAAGCTTCATCAGCTATGCAAACATTTCATGGGCAAGTACTCAAACAGAAAAGCTTAAGAAACTTTACAGTTTTCAGAAACATGCCTGTAGAATCATTTACTTTAAAAATAGGCGAGAACACGCTAATCGCTTGATGAAAGATATGAAAATAATGAATATATTTGAAATAAATATCTACTAGCATTTATTTTTCATGTGTTGTTACAATCACAATATCTCTCACATAAGCTTTAATAATAAGTTTCAGTTAAATAAAAATGATAACTATAATCTTAGAGCAAATATGTTGAACACATATAAACTGCCTAGGATAATAAATAAATATTCAGAATACAGCATTTTATATCGAGGTCCAAAAAGTATGGAATATTTTTCAAAAAGGGTTGAAAGGTACGGTAAGTTCGTTAAGTTCATTCAAGTTTTTAACAAAAAGAAATCTTTAAAACCTGTGAAACATTTTTTAATAATGTTAAGAATGCTTTGGATAAGTTCTCTTAAATACGTTTTTGTTTTGTTTCTACTTTTGTTTGTTGCTTGACAAATTTATTATATTAGCGAATTACGCATTTTGTTATGATATTTTATTGAAATTTTTAATTTGTATGTCATATTACAATATTTTAATTAAATCTTGTTAAAGGGGTTCTATAAAAAGATTGCGATGACGTTCTGTCATCCTCATCTTATTTGAGCCCCTATCTGTTTTACTTATTTTGTTAAATTTTATATTATGTAGTGGAATTTGTAAAATTCTTATGCTATGTAAATAGAGAAAGAAAAAAAAAAAAAAAAAAAAAAAAAAATTAAATACAATAACAAACAAACGGTAACGCCACTCTTTAATGGCTTCATTAAAGTTCGTTTTGATTGGGCTTCTTTAATATTACGTAGGTATAAAAAATATGGTGTCCAGAACTGTGTTTTTACATATTGACCATCAATTAAATTCATACCTCTGTTCTTAAGTTTATTTTTTGAAATTAAAGCAATCGACATTGCACTTCATTCTAATTTAACGTTACAATTAGTTTATGTGGCATGTAGTTTTTTGTGGCATGTAGCGAATTTCAATATTATCACCAAAACTTCAAAAAAATTTCTGAAAAGCAGGTTAGAGGGCAGTCATTAAATCTAGTGCAAATCTTAAATCTTTGCTAACTTTACGCAAAAAAACAAAACTACCATCAAATAGCTATACTGGAGTATAACTAATAGAATACGAGTGTGAACAAAAATACATTGGTGAAATAAAAACGAAAATAACAAAAAGAACAACACAACACCAAAAAAAGGTTTTTGAAAAGAAATTGGAAGAATATGCAATTGGACATCATAAAATTAATTGTCCATGTAAATAGAATGGGATCAAGTAATCAATTGTCCATGTAAATAAAATGGGATCAAGTAAAAACGTTAAAAGTAGAAAACCAAAAAATTTGAAAAAAAAGTTCGAAAAGCAATTGAAATTTAACTCACAAAATGCGGACCTAAGAATAAAGGTATGAATTTAGATGATGGTCAATATGTAAAAGCACAATTCTGGACGCCTTATTTTTTATACACACGTAATATTATTAGAGAAGCCCAATTAAGGCATACTTTAAAAGAGCTATTAAAAATGATATTATCCTTTTTTGTTGAATTTAATTAATAATTTGTAATTGAAGCTGTAGATGCTAGTATCAATTATCTAGCCCAAATTTCTTAGATTAAATAAAAAATTAGTGTTGAGAGATTTCATAATCATTGATGTTCATATATTAAATTTATTCAACTCTCATACAAGATATCGTCATATATATATATATATATATATATATATATATATATATATATATATATATATATATATATATATATATATATATATATATATATATATATATATATATATATATATATATATATATATATATATATATATATATATATATATATATATGTATATATATATATATATACAAATATATATGTATATATATATATATATATATATATATATATATATATATATATATATATATATATATATATATATATATATATATATATATATATATATATATATATATATATATATATATATATATATATATATATATATATATATATATATATATATATATATGTATATATATATATATATACAAATATATATGTATATATATATATATATATATATATATATATATATATATATATATATATATATATATATATATATATATATATATATATATATATATATATATATATATATATACTAAAGCCACTTAACTATTTACTGAACATTAGGTTGAGCTGCGCTCAACTTAATGTTCAGTAATTGGTTAGGTTCAATATATTTTCGTAATACAATTCCAAAAATATCTATCATTGTTTTAAAGTACAACTTTCAGGATGTAACTCCGTTACTCAAGACAGGTCGGGTCCACGATCATCATGATCACCCTGCAAGTGGTATCATGTAGCTTAGTATTATTTGCCCAATACCATGCTGCTATGTAAAGTATATAAACTTAAACTTAAAGTTTCCTTGCATTGGAGTTCTTGGTTTAGTATGGGCTAAAAATAGTGACTTGATAAAGATAATTTGGCATTTTTAACTACATCCCCCTAAAAATCCCCTGCCTTGGGACTCTTGGTTGAGAAAACAAATGAGATGATGTCTCAATAAAAATATTCTTTGTCATAAAAATACTCTTTTTGCATATGTCAACTGCATCTGGCTAAAATCTCTTTACTCTATCACGATTCTCTTTGTTTTTCATCGTTCTTTTATTTCTCAAGACCCTTTGTTAGACAATATCACAATACTGTGGACATTTTTGTATTTATGAATGTCAACCCTATCACTCACGATATATTCTATTATTATTTAACTTTGTATCTGTTCTATCTCTACTAGACAAGATCAAATAACGGATTGTTAACGTAAATGGACTTATTCTATTTGCCTAGTTTGAGCCTCTTTCCCGTCTTTGTAAAGTTACATCTCTTTCTTTTTTAACGGACCTATTATCAAGTTAAGCTAAGAACGAACTGGGTGTATTAGTGAAAAATTCATAACAATACATTTTATATAAACAAAATCTTAAATAATAATGTATACACTTTTAAATGATATATAGAAACAAAGTTTTATATAACAATATATGCAAGTGATAACTGAGGAAATCAATTGCAGTGCACAACAACAGAAGACGTTGTGTTATAACAGCTGTAAAATTTAATATGTATAAAAATCAAATTAAAATTGCTTCAGTTAAAATTTTGAAAAAAACTTCTGCCAGAAACAAAAAAATTATTTAAAGGTATTTTTTGCATGTAGCTATAACCCATTTAAGAAGGTTTCAATAATCAAGTCAGATTTTGTTAGCTGTTTTTAATGGTTTGATTACAGTTAGTAAAGTTTAATAAAAATTAATAAAGTTTATAGGAATAAAGTTTACGGCTAACAAAACGAAAAAGAATTTTCAATTGAAAAAAAAGTTAACTTAAAATAATTAGATAAAAAGTTTAAAAGTAAAAAAGCAACACTGTGAAAAAAAGCAACTTAGTATAATGAGAACCCATATAGGGAACACTAGGAATAGAAGATAAAAGCAAAAAAGTAAAACACTTTAGGCTCAAGAGTGGCTGTTTCAGCATAATGCTTTTAAAGTGTTTTATAAATTGTAAAAAAAAAGTCTATTAAAAATAAGTAACCTACCCAGCCGGCCCATCTGGTATTGTAATTAGCTAGAGTATTAACTATGTATTATATACCGCTACTTATGCAAGCAAAGTACGATTCTAGTTTTAAGATTTAAATTTGAGTTTAAAAACACATTATATTTATCATATATATGTACCCAGTTTTATTTAAGCATAAACATATAACAAATAAATGAGTGTGTATAGCGCATGTGAAAACAAGAATTTTGTGAAAAGTTTTCATTTGATATATGTCACTTTAAAATTATTTAACATTATTATTTTATTATACAGTTTGTATCTATATTCCAACAGGAATTTTCAGGTATTCACATAAAGCTATATGAAAAGTCTATTTATATTTTATATATTTTTTGTGATATATATGGAGTAAGAAATCGTTCTGCAGAAGTTTTTACCATATATCAATGGTATTTTGATTAGTATAATATTATATTATTAAAGTAATAGTGTTTTATTATATATTATTATAGATTTATTAATATGGTACTATTTTATTAAGTTTTAGGAAGAGCAAAAGCAATATATCATATTGAAAACACTATGTTAAGTGTTATTTTAATTCACAACATATAAGTGCAGACTGTGCTGAGGATATCGGTTATGAAATAGTATATGGTATTATAGTTAATAGGCACAATCAAATCCTATTTATTTATCTAAATTTCAGCTAAATATATTATCGCAAACTAGTGTTACAAATAATTTAACGAGAGACGCAATAAACAATATACTATTATTTCTAGTGCAGTCAAGAAAATTTGAATAAAATAACATACCAAAAGATGTCCAAGCATTACCTTGAACTCTATTAAGTATATCTTTATATCGATGTATTGAGCAAGTGTAATGTCAGTTTGATTTACATAGGTTTGAAAGAGATGCTAATTTCATAACTATTGATGTAAATAGTCATTGACTTCTATTCAGTGGTTTGATAGTTAACTGTTGGAGCCAATTTTTATTATTATTTTTAGGTACTATTAACCTACTTTAACTTACGGGCTACTTTACTCAGTTTTTAATGGTCATATTGCTGCAGTTTAATTTAGGGATAATAAAAATTTTGCTCCATTGATTTCTTCAAATTCGATTATGTTGTTATAACTGGTCTTTGACGAAAAAAAAAGTTTAAAAGCTTTTGATTGAAGTTTAAAAAATGGTGCAAAGTAGCTTTAATGAGAGTGTTACTCTGCACAACTTAATAAAAAAATTAACTTTTTTTTTAATATTAAAAAAAAAGTTAATTTTAGTATATAGTATCGTATATTCAAGTATTTTAATTAAGTACAATATTTTCTGTAGCTAAAGTTATGGTTTTATAACTAAAAAGCATATTACTTGCCGAGAAAATTGATTTGATTACAAAATTTGTTTCAGGAGTTTTACAAAACAATATACTAAACAATCATTAAAAACACAACAAACAAATCAAACAAATCTCTGCGTTAAAAAAAAATATAAATATGAAGATAAAACTTTAATGTTTTATGTTCATGTTTATTCGTATTTCCCACCATCTCAAGTAACTCTGGCACTGAAATAATCTCTCTTTTGCTGAAAACTTTAGAGTGTCTTATTCCTCTAACTATCCTATCCCACGTGTAAAAAAATATACTTTTTTTTATTTGAAATGCCATTTCCAATTATTCTAAGATTTTGACACTTACTGCTGCTCCATTGCCGTTGAAATAATACAACTCCAAGAAAATATGTATTTTTACACTTTATTACAACTACAAATAAACCAATCTGTTTGTTAATTGGAACAAAATCAACTGCGTAATTGATTTTGTTCTATTGAAACCATCAAAGGTTTGTGAATTTTTCTCTTCAGCAGTCCAAACGATTTTAAAGATATACTAGGGCCAAACTGTGGTTCAACATTGTTTTGATTTGAAATTAAATCTAGCTTCATTTCAAGAAACTCCAAACGAGAAAGACTGCTGTTATATCAACTAATTTTTTTTCAGCTAACTTTGGTTTTGTCACAATTGAAGTTCTTGTCAATTTGACAAGCTGATGGACAATGCCTCAAATTTTTTATGATAAAATCCCATCAAGTAGCGGTTTTAAATTGTTTATATCCGCTTTGAAGATTTTTTAATAACACCTCATTAAGAAAATGCTTGAAAAATTACAAACTTTCTCCGGATACTTTATACTTCTTCGACATATCACTTTTCTTTTTCCAGGATATTCAGTTAAGTTAATTTCATCTACAGTAGATACCATATGTTCTCTGCAAGTACATTTTTTAAAACAACCTTTAAATTTTTAATATATGCTTGTATAATTTCCTTATTTACTGCAGCTATGCAGCATTTTATATTTGCGGCAAAACATTGCTAAAGTCTGGAGTTTTTTCCCAACAATTACCGGTAAATTTTTTTTACCTAATCATTGCCGGATTGTTTAACTTTTCTATTTATTTTGTTTAATTAGCATTAATTAAACAAAATAAATTTTTTAATCACTGTAAAGCTCAAATAAACTTTACTCACTGTAACTCAAAATAAACTTTAATCACTGTAAAGCTCAAATCTCTCTTAGTTAATGGAAAATAAATATCACTCATGGATTCAATATATGAAACAAAATACTCTTCTTCAAGTCTTAAAAATATAGGCTGCTTATCTGGTCTAATCAAATGTTTTTACATTAGCTTATAAATTACATTTTTTCTTGGCATGTTAAGACAAGTTGAAGCTAAATTTTGACTGAGAGATGATTTTTGTAACAACGAGCATCTAACTTTCTTTTTTAATGCCTTAAAAAAAAGAAAAACATTCGGAATAAAAAATGACTTCTACAAATAATTAAATAACAACTCTCAAAATGGTAGCATCATTCAAAATTTATTATGAAAATTGAATATAATTGCCCAAATAATAAGATAAAACAAAATAGTTTCAGAAAATGAATATTGCTATTAACTACAAAAACCTTTCAAAAGTGGTGAAAAGTAACCCTCAATGGAGTAAAGTAATGGTCAACCCCGGTTAACGGTTATAAAAAGCTGGTGAGATTATTTAATTATTATTAAAATATGTAAAGAATTTAATATTTAAACTTTATTTAACTATTTCTATATTATTTAAATTATTGTATTTTTATTGTGAGTTATCAATAAATGTAATATATATTTTCAAGCTATATTAGATATTTTACCTTATTACGTCTATTTCTCAAAAACTGCAATAAATCTCCATTTTCCATAAACTCAACCACTAAACACAAAGGTTTGTTAGTTGTAGAACAACCTATCATATTTACAATATTCTTATGAAAACCAATGCCCTTCATAAGATTTATCTCTTCACGAAAATCTTTCATCTCGGACGTGTTTGCACCATCTATATTTAAAATAAACATATATTAAATTCATAAAAATATGTTCAGTTTTTGTTAATTAACTATTATTTTATACTAACAATTTGTTAACTTTTTACAAGTAAAATAAGCAAGTTGAAGTGAGAAACTTCAATTTTTGCATTTGAGTGACATTATTTAAATTGGAAGCCTGAGATTTTTGTTTTATTTATAGATATATCGTAATAATAAAGAGAGAGAGCACAAATATAGTAGGTTAACCAACAGGTTAAGATGAAAAACTATTTTGCCTCCTAAAATACAACCATAGTATTTTACTGTAAAATATGCAAATGCAGCATGTTTCTTTCAATAAATTATCCTGAAAGACCACCTGATCACGAAAATGTCTGAACTTTTAGGAACTTTAAATATCAATTATTTCTATGATTTACTTCAGTGATAATACCATTAAATGATTTCTGTACATATAAATATATGCGCATATACATACATGCCTAGATTTGTTTAGTATGACTTGTCAGCAACAACAAGTTGTTTAGAATGAAAATATAATCCATTAGTATGTTAAGTTAGCTAATAGTTAAAAGTTTGAAATAGAGAATCAAAAAAAAAAAAAAAAAAAATTTTAATAAATAAACAAAGTATAATCAAATATATGTAGTTCACATTTTAATTTACACAAAATTTTAAAAAATGCTTAGTGGGTGAGTAGAGATGCGTGAATATAATTTATAATAAATAAAAATGTCTTGCAAAAGATTTATATATATATATATATATATATATATATATATATATATATATATATATATATATATATATATATATATATATAATAAATATATATATATATATATATAAATATATATCCGTTGTTAAGTTAAGGAATTTGAAAATAGTAAAGAAAAGTGGATATAAACATCACGACGAAGAAAAAAAAATAACGTATAGATAATATTACGAAAAAAGAACAAAAATGTTTAATATTTGATTAGTTTTGGATAAACGGTCGAGTCCAACGTCCTAATACATAAAGTAAAATTTAAGTACTCATTAATCAATACCAACATTTCAGCATGTAGAGGATCGGAAACTACCTTACAACATTCTAGCATATTTGTATTTTCTTTTATAATATGTATACAAGTAAATATTAAGTTTTTTACAAGTATGGATTTACAGTAATTTATGTTTCCAGGTTTATCAGATAAGCAGGAAGCTACCCCTTAGACTAACAATAAAAGTAATCAAGTAAATAAAAAGTTCATTTTAAAAAAATATGTATCATCAAGGATTTTAGTGGTACATAAACAAAAAAAATTCATGAACATACACATGGTTTAGGCGTATTTTTAATTCATAAAATAAATTAAATTTAAAAGTGACCTCGCGTGACAACGTTTATATAATTTGCATATTTTAAGAACGACTTAGTTGTTTAATTAACAAAACTAAAACATAAAAAAAGACATGATAAAAAATGTAATAAAAATATATTAAACCTTTTAAAAGTTTCACGGCAACATTTATAATGTCATCTTCATTATGATCTAGTAATGAAGCTCTAGACTTTTGACATGCATACTTTGTTTTAGCTAAAATATTTGCACTAATTTTGCAAACATACACAGTACCATATGCTCCTTCGCCAATCTTTTTATCCAAAGTGATACTTTTTGAATATATCTCCCATCCATCTGACTTCATTTGAAACTCGAGGTACTCTCTGTTAATTAAGATAAAGCAACAGTAAACAGTAACACAACAAAAAAGCACTTATAAATATATGTATCTAAGTATGTGCATATATATATATATATATATATATATATATATATATAAATATATATATATATATATATATATATATATATATATTTACACATATATATATGTGTATATATATATATATATATATTATATATAAATATATATATATATATATATAAATATATATATATAAATACATACATATATATATATATATATATATATATATATATATATATATATATATATATATATTTATAAATAAATACAAAGAGAGGTGAGGTGATAAATATATATATATATATATATATATATTTATATATATATATATATATATATATATATATATATATATATATATATATATATATATATATGTATATGTATATATATATATATATATATATATATATATATATTTGTATACATGTATATATATATATGTATATATATATATATATATATATATATATATATATATATATATATATATATATATATATATATATATATATAAATATATATATATATATGTATATATATATATATATAAATATTTATATACATGTATATATATATATATACATATATATATATATATATATATATATATATATATACATATATATATATATATATATATATATATATATATATATATATATATATATATATATATATATATATATATATATATATATATATGTATATATATATATATATATGTATATGTATATATATATATATATATATATATATATATATATATATATATATATATATATATAAATATATATATATATATATATATATATATATATATATATATATATATATATATATATATTTATAAATAAATACAAAGAGAGGTGAGGTGATAAATATGTATATATATATATATATATTTATATATATATATATATATATATATATATATATATATATATATATATATATATATATATATATATATATGTATATATATATATATATATTTATATATATGTATATATATATATATTTATATATATATATATATATATATATATATATATATATATATATATATATATATATATATATATATATATATATATATATATATATGAATACCCAGACAGCAAGCTTACATTGGCCCAATGTAAGTTTTAACATTGGCAAGTTTATTCCGTTGGGCCAACATTTAGCCAATGTTTTGTTTCGGCGTATTTTTTTCAATTCTGCAAATCGGTTTTTTGCAAATATCGTACTATATTGGGCCAACATTTAAGCTAATGTTTTTTTTTTCGGCGTAATATTGCAATTCTACAAATCGGTTTTTTGCAATTATCGTACTACGTTGGGCCAATATTTGGCCAATGTAGTTTAGGCCTAATATTTTGCCATAAAAATCTGTTTTTACATTTATACCGTAGCCAATATTCGGCCAATGTAGTTTCGGATTAGTATATACTTTTAAATTGTTTCGAAACATTTTTTAAAAATGGTATCGTTTGACAGAATGAAAAAAGGTTTTGATACTATTATATATCTTTCCATTTATTTAAATTATAAAAATAAAAAAAAGGAAGCTATATTTATTAATCTTCTAAGAATCTTAAAATTTTTCTTATAAGAAGTAAACTTCAAGAGATTCTCGTGACTTAATATTTTATTTTTTTTAAATGAAATATTTGTTAACGTTTAAATAATATGCTTAAAACAAATTTTACTATTTTAATCTAAATTATTATTGTAATAATAAAGGCAATAATTATTTTTTTTTAAGATCTTAAAGTTATTTTTTTTATTTTTTTTATTGCTGTATTGGAATTTCAAATTTTCGTTTTATTTAATAATCTTTATTAAATTTAATTTATTGAATCTAATTATAATTTTGAAAAATTTATTATTATTATTTATAAACAAATGAAACATTTCAAATGTTCGATTTATTTAATAAAGAAGCCATTTTAAACGTCTTCTTTCATTAAATAAATCAAACATTTAAAATGTCATACAGTATAACTTCTTTTTTTTTTTTTTCATTATTTATAATAGTTTAGATTATATAGCTATTATAAGACATATTATTAAAGGTTTCAATAATTTATATGTGGCATTGAAGTTGTTAGAAGCTGATATTTTACATTTTAAATATGTCTCTTTTGTTTGATTTTTTCTGTGTTTGACTATGAAACCCCATCTACTAACATATTAAAACAGTGTACAAAAAGTGATGCTACTAGAACTTATATTCTACTTACGTAGAGCTTTCTAATATTCCATCTTTCCGAGGCAGAGGGACTTTATTCTTGCTTTAGTTACTTTTTAACTAAATATCTCTTGATGTTTTTCATATTTAGTTTTCATAACTTTAAGTTTATACATTAACTTGAGTTATAACTTAATTATTATTGATTTAATTTATAGACCTTTAAAGCAATACAAGATTGAATTTAGCATAAGGCTAAATTTCTGCTCATGTAGACAAAAAAGGAAGACAGCGAAAATGACCAGTCAAAATAAAGATTGAAGAGACAAAAAATTGTGTATATCTTGGTGTAGATGATTTATCCTCATTTTCATATAATAAAACAAAAAATATTATTAAACTTTGGGATTTACCTGTAACTCCAAAATCTTTACAGAAGTTTAATGTTTGCTCTGAGAAGTTAAATGAACAAATTTATTAAATGGTAAGTGTCTAATGATTGAAAATCTTTATTCATAGCTTTAACTTTTACAATTTAAAAACTTTTTCATATATTACGGTCAAAAAGTCAGAGTGTTATTTAACATTTTAGAATGTAATAATCAAAATATCAAAGCTTACACCACAGGCTTGGTCAGGAAGCGGGAGCGATCGCTCTCGAATATTGACCATAGAAAATATATTTAGTTGCGAAAAACTGGCCAGGTTTTTTAGTTATTTTGAGAACATTTAAGATTATGAACGAAACAAAAAATTTTTGTTGGATTTCAAAGTTGGTGTCACCAACTTTGAAAACCATTTGAAATCAAATGTTGAAAAAAACAACAGTATTTGTATTTATATCAGTATTCATATCAGTTTAAAGTTTTAAGAGTTGCTGGTGATTCATTATTATTCATTATATAAGCGTTTTAAATTTATTGTAGGTAATACAATATTTTTATAGATAATATTATTTTTAATAATAGTGTTAATAATATTCAGAACTAAAATATGTAAAAAAAAGTTATTTACAAACATTGGACAAGGTCCGTACTGTACCTTGGAAATCTGGATAATTTGTTAATATTGGCTAAAGTCGTGGAAAACCTGGAAAAGTCAGGAAATCATTTTTTTCTTTAGATAGTCATGGAAAAATCAGTAATTCTAGTTAAGAAGTTACTCGTTTTACTAATGAACGTTGTATTTTGAAAACATGATGAAACACTTTTTTTAAAAGTGAGGTTATTTGAAAAGAATATTTTCAAAAAAATATTCTTTTCAAATAAACTCACTTAAAATAAAAGAATATTAAGATAAAATAAATATTTTTTTAGATAAAATAAATATTTTTTTAGATAAAATAAATATTTTTTTAGATAAAATAAAGATTTTTTTAGATAAAATAAAGATTTTTTTTAGAGAAAAGAAACAATTTTTAGATAAAATAAAAATGAAATTTTTTACAGAAGAAATATTTTTCACTCCCTCGTAAAATTTTAATTTTGTTACTTGTCACATTTTCAAAATACAACGCTCAATTAAAATATTGTGTTTTTTTTGGTGCTACCCATTTATTTTTTCTGAAACTTATGTTTTCCTTAGTGTTCATTCTTAGTCGTCATTGAAGTACAACTTGGTAAACTACAAAACACATCAAATTCAGTAAAAAATTTGAGTAACAAAGGTTTACTAATTATTGTATTGCCTGAAAGAGTGTCATTGCTGTTAAAAGCAGTGAAGAATTCAAGTACTCTGGAAGAAAAGAAAATACGTAAGTAAATGGTAAATATATTTTTATGCATTTTGTATGATATCTTAGTACAATTTATATACTTTAAATAAAATACTCTTTGAAGATTTTTTGTAAATTACATTTTATATTAATTAAAGTCTAAACAAAAGTTATTTTAATTATTGCCAGGTTGTGTATTTTTGCAGGTCAATTATTTGGCACAAATCGGAGTTAAAGACAAAGGAGATTGTATATTTTTTTTGCTAAGAATAGTTTTTTATAATGGCCTAGTTGTAAAATTAAACTATGCAGAGAGAGGACAAAAAATTGGAATAGAAAAAATGTTGATTGCATATGCTGCTATTGGTAAGTGGTTTAGAAAAGTTTATTTTTTCAGTTTCATTTTTGCATTACAGAATTACTTTCAATTTGTTATGTTTCCTTGGTGCATAATTAAACAAACAACTATTTTTTTTTGCAGAAACTGTGAAGTGAAATAAGCATGGCTTATGCAGACATGTGATAGAGATAGTGGAAGAAAAAATAATAACTGTGGACACCAAATACCATAAGCTAAACACTATTCAATAACAAGTAGCTCAGCCAATATCGAAACTACTTTGTAAATTATATAGTGAATTTTTTTATTTAGAACCCAATATGTCAGTTTTTTGTTTAAGTTTGGTGTTTGCAATATGTATATTTAACCGATAAATTATGTTAAATAAACAAGTTTTTATACTTGTATCATACATTTTTTTTTTCTCTATAAATTTTCAATGTAGCGATGCAAATCATCTTATTTGTAACAACGATCTAATGTTGCATAAAACGTTAGGCCGATATATAACATACGATATTGGGCCAATGTTGTATACAACGTTGGGTCAATGTTGTATACAACGCTGGGCCAATGTTGTATACAACGTTGGGCCAATGTTGTATACAACATTAGCCTAACGTTATATACAACATCGGGCCAATGTTGGGTAAACGTTGTATACAATATTGGGCCAATGTTGTACACAACATTGGGCCAATACCTAAC